TCGCAGCGAGGCGTCTGCCTGCAGGAGGGGTCGCATCCCGGCTGCATCCGACACTTGTGCCCTGGCTGCAGGGGAAGCCAGGACATGGGATGCCCTGGCTAATGTTAGGTGAAATGAGCTCCAGCCTTACTGACCGGGGGAGCTGGCTTACGGGTGGAGGGGATTCGGGGAGACAGCCCCTTAGCAAGGCTCTGCGGAGGCAGAGGCGGACGAGCCGGGAGCGGTGGGGTATTACCCAGTTCCCGGGGCTGCAGCCGCGCAGGGCAGCCTGGACCGATGGCTGGATTTTGGTGATGAACAGGGCACGGTACTTGGCTGGCATGTTTCCCAGCTGCCAAACCCTCGCACAGAAAGGTGGGGTTGGGTGAAACCTTCTGAGAGCTGCTGTATCTGCTAGCCAGGAGGGACGACTGCCTGCCTGCCTGCCTGCCTTTGCTCTCACTGTCTGCGGGATCTAGCAAATTATTTCAGCACATGCTTAACCTCAGGCTTGCAAACATGCTAATAAAAAATCAATGGAGTGTCTTGCATATTTAAAGTTGAACATCTGAATAGTTGTTGTCTTCATAGAGAGGAACCTCATTAGCGCTGAGAACTGCAGAGATTCTGGGGCTCATTCCTGTCACCTCCTGGTGCCTCATCTGACTCGCCTCCTGCCTCTCCACACTTACTCTGGGTGCTTTTTTTAATTTTATTTTTTTATTTCTAAGCAATACCTAATTCTGTTTTAAAGCAACATTTTTTAAATGTTCTCTTAGTTTTAGCTGCAGGATAAACCTACGCTCACTGAAGACAGACTGTCCCTCCTTGAAGGACACAGCCCTGCAGTGCAGTGTCAGGTCTCTGCACCGCTCTTAATGCCCTTTAAATTCAGGGGGCTCCACTTCAGTCAACATTAAGTGAGGCAGTACTGAATCTGAGCTCTTTGTATATTGTTTCTATGTAAAGCGTCTTTAGTCCAGTGTAGAAGAAAAGGGAAGATTTTTTTTTTTTTCCCACAGTTATGGCTTTCACTTCTTGCCAGTTGTCCATTTTCCTCCATAGAATATGTTCAGTATTAACTGCAGTTAATAAATCAAATTGTTCTTAGAATCAAGATGGCCGCTTCCCTTCCCTCTACTATTAAAACGTTTCTCTTTCTGTAGGCCGGTTTCCTGGAAAATAACCTTATTTTATTAGAGTGCTCACTCCATTTTTCTCTTCTGTTAAATGCATGTCAAGGAACAACATTTGCCTTTATGGTGCCTTTTCAAGAGCAAACTTAACAGTTCAAGGAAAGTATTTACTGAATGCATTGAAAAGCACATACCTTTGCATTATTTATTATAAGATACCAATAACTGTAAAACGCAGAGTATCTCTGGACATAAATTAGTGATGTTAGGAAACACTAGACCCTTCCTGGTGTCCCGGAACCTATTAGAAACTGCAGCAAAGATGCAGGCGCTCGTCACATCCCCAGTGTCGGGAGTGCCGCCGCATGGATTGCAGACAGAAGGCAAAGCGTTGGATGCAGGAATCCAGCCTAAATCTGCTTTTTCATCTCAGGCAGTAAAACATTATCTGTGGAGTGTGTTAGAGGTGCAGTTCAGAGAACCCGAATTCTTCCCGCATGATGCCTTTGGGCCCACCTGGGGGTATTTCGAATGGTCCGACTCCCACCTTCCTCCCAGAGGCAGCTCTGCAGCAGCCACTGGCATTTGGCAGCTGAGAACAGATACAAGAGAGGGGTCAGAGTCAACAAAATATTCCAGTTTCCTGCAGAAATACTGTCCCATGCACAAAAATAAGCTGATCAGCGTAGTCTGTTACGCACCCGGCTGAGCCAGGCTCCCTGTGGTGCCATGCTCAGGCACAGGTAAGACAGTACAGTCCTGACCTCGGGTTAATTACAGGCATTTCCACAGCCTGAGTTTTACTTTTTGGGCCAGGTTCTCATTTCACATTCTAGACCTGCAGAATTATTTAATAGGGCTGCTTAAAAACCCATCCACTTATCAATTCACTCTGCTTATTTTGTCCCAGCACATTACCTAACCATGTCAACATATGGATTTCTTTTTATCTTACTGCCCTGTGTAGACAGCCTTATCAGGCTATTTTTAAATCTGGGTATGCTACGGCAGTGGTATTGGTTTCAGCACTTGATGTTCTCTCTGTGCTAATAAATACAGACCAGCTATTAATACTGATTTTTTTTTAGGATCCATTAGCATCGCTTGGCGCAGTGATGGTCCGGCGCTGCTGCCCTGCCTGACCTGAGCTCTGGCGGGCATTTCTGGCTGGCTTCGCCCTTGGCTTTGGGGGACGCCCCGGGGAGAGGGATGGCGCTGGCCCCCGCAGGCCACCGCCGGCTCACCCCAGGGCTCTGCGGCCGCCCTGTGCCTTGCAGCCCTTCCCACCCAGCCGCCCCGCGCTGGGGAGCGGGGAGGCTGCCCGTGCCGAGCCTCCAGCCCAGGGAAGGAGAGGGTCAGGCTTTAAGGCAACAAAGACGATCCAAGGAGGAAGGGGAGATTTATTCTCAGATGAAAGACTTTTGCCTGCAATCCCAGGTGGTTCAGACTACTTTGTCGCCCTGGAAGAAGCTTTAGAATGCATGCTGTAAACCGAAATGCAGATAAACTCAAATATATAGGGCCTGGGTTTCTAGGCAGCTCAGCTGTTCTAGGCAGCTCTGCTGGCAAATGTTGGAAAAAAATTTCAGCCCGTGTCTTTCAGCAGAGCTGCACGTTCATAGATGATTTCCGCTGGGAAGCGTTACCTCATTTCTGGACCAACTTGTGAAGAGCGTCGTGCGGGGGGGAGCGTATCGTGCTGTGTCATGCCATCCCTGGTTTCAGCGATGCTTCCGAGCTTGCTTATGGAAAATGCAGTCGTTGCAGTTTAAGACTCGGCTGTGAAGCAGCGATGAAGAGGATGGAGCTGCCAGCAAGCGGGGCTGCGCTGCAGCCCCTGGCCGTGCAGCGGGGGGGTGAGGTGCCCGGGGGGGGTTGCCCGCCTGGAGCCCTCCAGCAGGCAGCTGCAGGCAGCAAGGAGAAGCCTTGGCTGGCCTTAAACCACATGCATCGGGTGGCAGCTGCCGGGTGGCTTTGGAGCAAAGGGGCTGCCTGGATGTCCACGCGATCTGGGGATGCGGGGAGAGGTAATTGCTGATGAGGGACACTGCCTCAACAGCAGGCACTGCTACCGTTTCATCTCAGAAAGTTGCAATTTCATGTCTGTCTGTTTTTGCCATAGCTTTTCTACATTGTAGTCTGTGAGAGACCACATGGAAGTGCAACCTTATAGAGAGTTGTAGAATTTGAGACGCACTAGGTGGTCTGGTTATTTCTACGCAAGGCCGTAAACAAATGGTCTCACAGCAGAAGTTAAGAGTTTATCTCACAACAGATGTCTGAAGTTTTGGCAGCTTTTTTGAGACAGCAGCTGTTGCAGCAGTGGATAGAAACCACAAATAAATGGGTAAATGGTTAAAAAGTGTCCACAGAGGTCTCTTTCTGGAGAAAACAAGCACACAGAAGGTTCAGCTGGAGGATGGCGGTTTGTGCTCTCGAACATGACTTTTCCTCAGTGGTGGTCACAGGAGCTGCTGCCACAGGAGCTTTGAGCAGGGTTTGCTTTGGAGTGTTTAAAGTAATAAAACTCCTGTGCCAATGTTAGACCTGGCTGTTGGGGAGGTGGCACCAGGCCTCCTTTTGGGGATGGAGAAGATGAATGTGGGGAGCGGAGCAGCCTGTCCTGGGTCAGAGAGAGCAAAGCTGGGAGCAGAGTTCGACCATGCGTCCTCTCCTGCCACGGGGTTTTACCCGTCCCTGGGTGTCGGTGGGCGTATCACCAGCACCTCTCCATCCTGCGGACATCTTCTGCGACAGGACCCGTTGGCGCGGGTGCTGCGAGCATCCCTCCTGCACGCCCGGCCACTGGGCGGGAGTGAGTGGGGGAAATGGGTGCAGAAGGACGTGGGGGCACCGGTTCCCGGGGAATGCCTGGCAGGAGTTGGGTGCTTTCGCTGGCAGACAGGAGGGCAGCCCAGTGTGCTGTGGATTTCAGCTGGTGCCCGGAAAAGACACCACAGCGCCACATGGAAGGTGGTTTTGTGTTGCAAATCGTGTAGGGAGTGCGGGGAGGGGGCAGCGGGGCAGTTTCTGCTGTTCTGTCCCCTGTACTAACCAAGTGGGTTTGGGGGGTTCCTGCCTTCACCATTGTGCCCATGGTAGTTGTTTTAAGTATGTGTTTGGAATGGCAGATCAAAGAAAAGGCTATCTGTCCCAAAATATTAATAGATTTCTTCTAAATGCATGAAGAGCAATTTCCAGTTGTGTTTCCTCTGTCCTGTACGTTACCCAAGGGGCGGGGTTTACATTACGGAATAGTGGCCTGCACAGTTTTGTTGAAAAATAGTAATCTGCAGTTGTTATATGCTACAGCACAAGATCAGTTTCTACAAAGAATTAATCTTTGTCTTAGCTATTGAAGGGGAAAAAAGGATCTGCTTTGCATTTTCTTTCCTAGACTGACATCAGATAAGCTAAATTGTTAATTCGAATGCTGCTGTAACAGAAGAGCAACGCATTTCTCAGATGGTGGCTTTATAAAAAGCGCGGAGAATCTCGAAAGTTGGCCACTGTCCAGAAATGGCAAGTGAACTCGAGGGCCGTGTCTGGGGATGGTTGGGGGGAGCGCTGCGATTGCCTAGGAGTTCAGTGCCCGAGCGCCCACCGGTCAGGTGCCCGTCCGACATCATTTCTGGAAAGGCAAAGGTCTTTAGGGTGCGAGCGCGAACACCAGCGTAGCCCCCCGGGGATTCCTCTGTGAGCCCTCGGGTCCCACATGCCGGCACCGGTGCCGGCTCGGCCGGCAGCCCCGTGCCCCCTGTCCGGCGGGTCCTGCAGGGGGGTGACAGCTCGCGCCTGCCGCTGCGCGTGGCCGGCGGGGTCTGCGGGCAGCCGCGCGCGTCCTGACGCTTGCTTTCTCTCTGTCGCTGCCCACCCCTTCCCCAGCCTGCAAACGCAAAGAGCAAGAGCCGAACAAAGAGCGGAACAACTCCCAGAAGAAATCTCGCCTGGTTTTCACGGACCTCCAGCGCAGAACGCTTTTCGCCATCTTCAAGGAGAACAAGCGCCCTTCCAAAGAAATGCAGATCACCATCTCCCAGCAGCTGGGCCTGGAGCTCACCACCGTCAGCAACTTCTTCATGAATGCCCGGCGGCGCAGCCTGGAGAAGTGGCAGGACGACCTGAGCTCCGGGGGCTCCTCCTCGGCCCCCAGCACCTGTACCAAAGCGTGACGGGGAGCGGCCGGCACAGCGCGGCGCGGTGCGGCGCGGCGGAGAGAGCGGCTTCGCGGCAGGGCCCTTCACTGGTGACTTAAAGCACAATCCTCCTGGAAACGAACCCCAGCCCACCTGTAACAGAGGACACTTCTTACGGCTTTTAGTCAGTCTTAGCAGGCGCAAGTTGAAAAATTAACCTCTTTCTCTACAATACTATGCTCAGGACAGGCGAAGCAGGTCTGAAACGTAGGGGAGTCGTTCGTGAGGCAAGTTTCTCCTGAGCCCCAAAGAGCCCCGGCCGGCGGGGGTGCCGCTGCGAGCCCGGGCAACCTGCGCGTGCCCGGCGTTTGCCGGCAGGGCGCCGGTGCTGGCCACACCGCCCTGCACCAAAGCTCGCCGCAGTGGCGCGGCCACGCGAGAACGGAGCACAAAGTCTGACACGTAGACGCTAAAGAATCCGAGAACCTGTTTTTAAAACTCAGGCATGGTTTTGTTAAGTGTTTTGGGAAAAAAGAAAAGAGATCAAATTTTAAGTTTTTGTTTGCTTTTTTTTATTTTATTTTTAGTTTGTTTAATTTAATCAGTGAGTATAGCTTGATCTTGGATCAGAAAAATTCAGTTCACTTGAGCTCAAAGTATCAAGCACAAAGCCGGTAGCTATAGAGATAGGTACGATCCTGGACTCACTACAGCGATTGTTTCAAGATGCAGGCTAACTTCCAAGGTTGGTAGGGAAAACCTCTGTGACCACACGAGCCTCAAGCACAGTTTGCAGTTTGTCACAAGTTCTGTGTTTGTACCTAATGCAGATGCACACTCAGGAGGTCAATTTAACTGCTACAGTACATGGAGCAAACACAACGTTTTGAAAGATCTAGATTTTTTTAGGTCATTAATACGTCCTTTTTAGTTACCAGGATTCTAGTTTCTCCTCAACAACGTTCTTGTTACTGAAACGTGTTTAGCGTTCAGTGTACTTTTGTTCATTTTTTCGGTATTTTATGGTACATTCAAGCAGGAAAAAAAAAGCAGAAACAAGCCCTCAGATGCCACTGACCGTTTTAGATGTGCCGCATATGACTTCAATATGCCATCTAGACCTATTGCATCCCCTAAGTTCCTTTTATCCGCCGGTTACCCAAGCTGGCGGGAACACAGCACACCAAAGAGACAGGATTACTGCAAGCCAAAGATGTTTATAACTTGCCATTTTCTCTTTGTCACCGCTGGTGCGGGTGGTTGTTTGGCGATGGGGAAGCCTCACAAACTCCAAGCCCTCTCTCCACCTCCGGCGGCTGCCCTGCGGCGGAGCGGGCAGGCAGCGCTGGCAGCCGACGCGAGCGGAGCCCCGGCCGC